AATTTGAGCTATACTAAGTGATTTCTTCTTAATCTGAAGCCAGTACTCGAAAAGTCCTTTTTTTTCAACGTCTCCATTCCATACTCCATTTTCCAGAGCTTCTTGAAATGCTTGCAATAATTCTACAGGAATATTCTTTTCAAAGAGTTGCACAAACTGTTCTTCATTTTCTATAGGTTTGTCTGGAATTTGCGTTTTATCTTCAGTTTCCGTTGTTTTTAGAATATATTTTCTTTTTTGTAGAACATCATAATCTATGGCATTACTATCGAATGGCACTAGCCCAGCAGCCTTAAATCCATTTACTATAATGGTCTTTTCATCTTTCATACTATCTAACGCCATTTGCAAAACTTTTGGAAAATTTTCTTTCTTTAATTGTACAATAATAGTTGTGTTTTCCCTTTCTGGCACAGTTCTTTTACATGTTTCTTTGAACGGATGAAAATATGCTATATCTATTGGTATATGTATAGTATATATATATGCTAATGGTTGCATTACATGTGTTGAATTTGGATGTAAAGCAATAATTTCAATCTGCTTCTCTCGACAAAACTGTGCAAGAGGAATGTTCACATGCGACGAATGATTATCTAAATATAATATTACAGGAAATTCTGTCTTCTTCTTTAAAAGCCACGGATAAAACACATTTGTGATATACTCGTAGAAAGTCTCAGCAGTCATACATCCATTCTCGGATACACCTATGCCCCAATCTTTTGGAGTATTTTCGATAATCGCTTTTGGTACTTTTCCTGCATGTGCAAACGTAAGCATTGGGGGGACACGTGTGCCTGCTGCACTATAAGTAAATAAAATTGTGAGATTTTCTTTTCTATCGTCACTCACTTTATAAGCTGCCTTAACGTCTCTTGTTGTCAACACTTTTTCAGAGTCAGGGCATAATAACATGCTAGTTTCATCGCAATTGAACACTCTGTCAGGAGAAATATTCATTAAACCTTTAGTACTTAAATAGTTTCCTATTTGTGCAAACCATTCCATCACATCCTCTCTTGTAACTGCAGCTCTAGTTAAAAATAAATGTTGATCAGTTCTAATAGTGAGCTCCGGATGACGCCTTTTAAAGGCTTCGTACCAATGGCGTCCAGGACGATTCTCAACAAATGGTGTTCGTTTTTTCATTAATTCAACATAATTTTTAATGCCATCCAATAAATCCGGTTTTGTCACTGGATACCCTCTTTCTGCTCTATATGTAATCCAATTTACTATGTTTGCCTCTTCGGCTTTTGTAAAAACATTCGTTGGAATACGTCTTGAGTTTGTAATATTAGGATTGTTTTTCCTTCTGTGCAATGTAACCACGGGGACTCCAAATGCCTTTGCAGCTTTCCTAAGAGATGCTCCATTTTTCAATGCTTCTATCGCATACTGGAGACTTTCTAGAGAATAGTTTTTCCTTTTAATTTTCTGCTTTGTTGGATGATTCATCGTAGTTTTACTTTTGAAGTTCAGAGTCTGATTACTTTTTTCCAAACAATTTTTATTAATTTTGTCTGTACAGTTTTCTTTTCCCTTTGCACTTTTCATGTTCATGTATTTAATATTGGCNTGTTATTGTATAGTATCAGTATTGAAGCTGTTCAACACCCAACGGACATCGATGTTAACAATGCAGCAGAAGAAGCAGTATAATACAATAGTCTCGTTGTTCAAAGCAACGAGACAATTGCGCAAGCGTCATATAATATGTAAGGACCGATTGCAAGAAGCTCAAAAGCTCTTGCAACGTGGTTTTGCGGAACGCATTGAAGGTCTCCCAGATGTAGTTCGAGACTTTTTTAATTCGCAGATCCGCAATGTCGGACGTAGTAGGCATAGTAGAGCATATACACTGGAAGATAAAATTTTTGCTCTTTCAGTGCTGAAGCAAAGCCCACGCGTGTATCGTACTTTGTCCAGCATATTCCTTTTGCCTTCTCAGGAGACTTTGCGAAAATTTGTTTCTAATATTCATATACTACCCGGAATTAGTGAGTCTGTCTTCAACAGCATCGAAATTTCGCTCGATAGGTCCAATAGTACACATTGCGTTCTCATATTTGGTGAAATGAAGCTTACTCCGGGACTTCATTATAACCTCAAATATGATACTATTGAAGGTTTGGTAGATTTCGGTTTTGATCGGTCTTTAGATATCGCAGATCATGTTCAGGTCTTCATGCTGAAAGGAATATGCGGACAAAGAGCATGGAAGCAAACAGTGGGCTACACATTTTGTAAAGGTGCTGCACCATGGGAGTACATTGTACGTACATTCAAGGCCATACTTAATCATTGTTCCGCCATTGACTTAAAGGTTGTCGCGTCCATCTGCGACCATGGGCCGACAAATGTGCGTGCAATAAAGCAATTGCTTTCTGATACGAGAAGCAATTGCGACTCCCATGAGGCAGTTATCATAGTTGGCGACCAAAAAGTAGTCCCATTGTTCAATCCACCTCATTTATTAAAATGTATGCGTAATCATCTGTTAACAAAGGATCTTCGTTACTCTTTAGACGGGGTAGGAAGGGTTGCAAAATGGTCGCATGTAGAGGACGTTTATTTCGTCGATCGTAGTAGGGGTAATTTCAAAATTTTGGCCAAACTCACGGAACATCATGTCGTTCCGAACAAAATTAAAAAAATTAATCTAAGGTATTGCACGCAAGTGTTTTCCCGAACTGTGGCAACCGTGATGGAGTTTGTGAGCACTAATGAGGTGGAGAGTGCTTGTAAAACCAAACGGATGCCATCAGAGGGAACAGACACTGCGCACCTTTTTTTGCATATGAACGCGCTTTTTGACTCTTTGAATAACGGGACCATTTTCGACCACAAAACTAACACCACGGACTTTTGGAACAAGTCGATCGACTTGTTTAAGTCGATGAGTTTTATCAAACGCAAGGCGGGTGATAAAACTCATCCAGAGGTGTTGAACAATTGGATACATACCCTCCAAGGGTTCAAAATTTTGTGCGTTTATTTAAAGGATCTTGGCTTCACCGGATTCAAAACTAAAGAGTTTAACCTAGATCCTTTGGAAAAATTTTTCGATAAGATAAGACAAAATGGCGTTAGAAATACAAATCCAACTTGTACTGCATTTATAGGCAGTTACAATTCTTTATTAATCAATACTTATTTTTCAAATTTAGAGAAGCAAAACTGTCAGGAGGATTATACTCAAAATATCTTGCCAATTAAAAGTTTTCTAAATTCCACCAATCCATCCGTTTCGGAAAATAGAATACCTGTAATAGCAGTAGAAGCAATAGAATTAGAGTCTGAAAATGTGGACGCTACTGCAGGTGACATTCATCTTGTAGAGACAGCCATAGAAGCCTGCGCTTCGTGCTGTGAGATATTAATAAATGATAAGGAAATTATAAATTCATATTTACAAAAGGTTTATGTTACTGTACAATATTTTTTTAATCATTTTGCTAATTTTGGAAATTTCAATAGTAGTATTGTCAATTATTTATCTTCTACAGTTATTGCTGAACTGAATGACTGTCCGCAGAGGCACATTAGAGATTACTTTTTGACTTGCTATGTTTCATTGTGTGTAAAAAAATGTATTTCTAACGCCAACAGACTTTTGACCGCTTCTGAGGAATCTTTAGTTCCAATGCGAGGCCTGACAGCACTTGCTGCTGTTTATGGCAACTCGCATTTAAAGCAGAAGCGGGGCAAAAGTTAAATATGTAAATATGTTTAATGCAAAATGTAAATATGTTAATATGTATGTATGTATGTATGTATGTATGTATTTTTCCTCTTCATATATGTGTTAATGTATTTATGTATTATGTATGTATGTATTATAATATGTATGTATGTATGTATTTATGTATGTATGTATTATGTATGTATGTTCCCTATGGGATTACAATGTCCGCCTTTACAACGTTCACTTAAACCTATCCGCTCCTGCTCCTACTCTTAATCTACCTTAACGCCATTTCGCTCTTTACAATCGTACGTCTCTTTACGCTCTATTTATGCCCTCTCCTCTCTATCTATTCTCGCTCTCTTCGCTGACTTCATTCGCACCCTCTCCCTCTCTCCTATCTACTATGCCTCTCTCCCCTAATCCTCTACGCTCTCCCTCTCGCCTCTCCTGGACCTTCGCTTCCGTTCCTTTCGCTCCATTCTTCCTTTCATTCCTTCTCTCCCTTCCCCTCTCACCTTCCTCTCTATCAGAGCTCGTATAAATTTAGCATAGTCTGTAAAAAAATTGTTCCTTTCATGAAATGTTAAACAAGTAGGCAAGTTTGAAATGTCTGGTTCCTATAATGAACTATAGTATAAAAAATGAGATGTCTAGTTCCTATAATAAATTATACAGGGTGTCCCAGGAAAAGTGTTAGAACCGAAGGGATGTGATCCTGTAAACGTTTTTGAATAACTACTTCCTTTTACAAAATGCAAAGTGAGGCATAGTTTTTGAATCATTAACGAAAAACACTGACCAATAAGAGCGCGTGTAGGGCCCGCGCTCAGCCACGGGAGTGGGGACTCGGCCATTGGTCAACGCGGGCCCTATGCGTGCTCTCATTAGTCAGTGTTTTTCGTTAATAATTTATAAACCAAGCCTAACTTTGCATTTTGGCAAAGGAAGTCGTTGTTCCGAAATAATTACAGAATCATCCTACTTCGGCCTTAACACTTTTTCTGGGACATCCTGTATATATAACTATAATGAAAAGAATAAAATATAATTTCATTACCTCCCTGAAAAATACCCTACCAGATATTGAACAAAATAAATTATAATTTCATTATCTTCTTGTAGAATACCTCACCCCAGAACAAAATAAAATAATTATTCAACAACAATAAATAATTTCATTACCTACTTACATTATTGTATTCCATTACTGTATATTACATAATTGAAAAAATAAATAAATATAATATACAAATGTAATAAATAAATATATAATAAAAATAAATTGAAAAAGTAGTATATATCCTTTTCGGCTCTAACAATTTTTCTGGGATATCCTGTATATACTCTGGTACTTACAATTAGTAAGAGAGGAATAGTAGGAAGAAGGACGCATTTACAATTGTGCCACCATAATGTTCTCTCTCACTCAGAGCTACATCGCCACTACTCTCTCTTACGGAGTTTGCACTCCAGTTAAAGGTGTAGAGTTGAATGCTACATACCAGTGATTCTCAACATTCTTTTCGTCACGGTATGATTCTCAACCTTCATTTCGTCACTTTGAATAATTTAAAAATTTGGCGACACATTAACAANTAAATTTTATATTCCTATAACCACGAGCACTTTTTATTATACCCCATAATCCTTTTACAAAAATTATTATGTGAACAGACATTGGGTCATTTACTTGAAGTGAAATAATTGTCTAAAAAAGTAACGAACACTCTTGACAATAGTACAACGTGCCAAGAGGTCGACTCCTGTGCGGCAACTAACACCGACGCGGGAACTAGCACCGGCGCGGCAACCAAGACCGGCACGCGTTGCAGACCGTGGAAGACGTAATCATACATCCTGTGATGAACGCGAAAGGGACTTAATGGATCAAATCGTTGAAAAGACCATTGCTATTCTAAACCAAGCGTAAGTTGTATTATATAGTATAAAATATTAAATAATATAAAAATAACATAATATCAAATTTTGATAATTTTTGGTTTTTGACGTTTGTTCCTGTTTTACCGACAATCAGTCGAAAATAATGCAAAATATGCTCAATAATTAAAAAATGTCAGCACATTTTTAGTAAATG